TCTTTGCCAACACCTATTTTCTGTTATTTTGATAATAGCCGTCCTAATGGATGTGAGGTAGTATCTCATTGTAGTTTTAATTAATGAAGTTGTGCATCTTTTTGTGCTTATTTATATATCTTTGTGCTATTTTGTGCCATTTATATATCTTTGAAGAAGAGTAAATTCAAATCCTTTGCCCATTTTTGAATTGGATTAATTGGTTTTGCGTTGTAGGTAGTCTTTACTGGATATTACCTCGTATCACATATATGAATTGTAAATATGTCCTTCCATTTTTGTGGATTACCTTTTCACTTTCTTGATAGTTTTCTTTAATATACAAAGTTTTTATATTTTCATGAAGTCCAATTTCTATTTTTCTTTTGTTACCCATGCTTTTGGTGTCATATCCAGGAGATAATTGCCAAGTTCAGTGTCCTGAAGGTATTGCCCTATGATTGTTTTCTAACAGTTTTATAGTTTTAGGTCTTATATTCAGGTGTTTGGTATTTTTAGGTTAATTTGTTTACGGTGTAGGCAAAGTCTAACTTTATTTATTTTTTTGTTAAGTGGATATTCAGTTTCCTCAGTATCATATGTTGAAAAGACTCCCTTTTCCCCATTGAATGGTCGTGGTACTCTGGCCGAAAATCAGTTGATCAAATACGTGAGGGTTTCTCTCTGCACTCTCTGCTCCACTGGTCTGCATTTCTGTCCCTGGGCAGTAGCACACTGATTGCTGTAACTTTGTAGTAAGTTTTGAAATTAGGAAATGTGAGTCCTCCAATGTTGTTTGTTTTCTTTCAAGATTGTTTGGGCTATTCCAGGTCACTTATGATTCTGTATGAATTTTAAGATGGGTTTTTCTATTTCTGCGAAGAACATGTTGGGGATTTTGGTAGGAATTGCACTGAATCTGCACATTGGATAGTATTGTCATATTGACAGTAGTAGGTCCTAATCTATGAACATGTGATATCTTTCCATTTATTTATGTTTCTTTATTTTCTTTTAGCAGTATTTAGTAGCTTTCTGTATACAAGTGTTTTACCCCTTGGTTAAATTTATTCCTAAATATATCATTCTTTTTGATGCTATTGTGAATGGATTGTTTTCTTAATTTCCTTTTTTTGGTGGTTTGTTGTTCGTGTATAGAAATTAAATTGATTTTTGTGTGTTGATTTTGTATCCTGCAACTTTGCTGATTTCATTTATGAGCTCTAACAGGTGGGGTTTTCTGCGGGGGAGGTGTGTGTGTGTGTGTGTGTGTGTGTGTGTGTGTGTGTGTGTATTCTTTAGGATTTTCTAGGCATAAGACCATATCGTGTGAACAGAGATTGCTTACTTTATTGTTTACAATTTGAATACTTTTTATTTCTTTTTCTTGCTTAATTTGCTCTCTTTAATAGAAGTGGCAAAATTAGGCCATCCTTGTCTTATTCTGTTTTAGAGGGAAAGCTTTCAGTTGTTCACTATTGAGTGTGAAGTGAGATGTGGGCTTTTCATATATGACCTTTAATATTGTTTAGGAATTTCTCTTCTATTCCTAGTTTAAGTGTTTTTATCATAAAAGGGTGTTGAATTTATCAAATGCTGTTTCTGCCTCAATTGAGATGATCATATTTTTTTCTCTGTTAATGTAGTGTATTACATCAATTGGTTATTATAGGTTGAACTATGCTGGAATTCCAGGAGTAAATCCCAATTGGTCACAATGTATTGCGTTGGCCAAAAAATCGTTTAGTTTTTTCCATAAAACAAAAAACACATTTTTCATTTTCACCAATAACTTTATTGATTTGGATATTTTGACTATATTGGCTATCTCCCACTATTGGCTTCTAGTGGGTAGAGGCCAGGGGTGCTGCTAAACATCTTCCAATGTGTGAGCCAGTCCCATGGCAAAGAATTCTTTGGCCAAAATACCAAGAAACTTTGCACATCACTTTTGTCACATTTGATCATTCACAACACCTTCTCCATATGCTGCACACATCATTTTTTGCCTTTCAGTTGTGTTTTTACCTTCCTTGAAATAATAAAGCATAATATGTCACAAATGTTGTGTTTTCTTTCATCTTCAGTATTACAATGACTGCATAAAAATTCTCCAATTTTGATGTTTCTTTTTAAATACATGCTGATATGACAGCTGTCACAATACAATCTAACAAAATTGTTTCTGATGACATTAAAGGCAACTAAGTACTACTAGAGCCATTGTATGGAAAAAAACTTAATGAACTTTTCGGCCAATCCAATATAATAGTTTTAGCATGTTCCTGCATTTTTTCTGCTAGTATTTCTTGAACATTTTTGGATTAATATTTATAAAGATAATTGGTCTGTAGTTTTCTTTGTAGTGTCTTTGTCTGCCTTGGTATCAGGATAATGTTAGCCTCTAGAATGAGTTAGGGAGTTTCAGATTTGTTTGTTTTTTTTTAAGTGTGACTAGGATTGACATTAATTCTTCTTTAAATGTTTGGTGGAATTTACCAGTAAAGGTACCTGTTTCAGGGCTTCTCTTTGTTGGAGGTTTTTGAATATTTTATTTCTTCATGATTTGGTTTTTGTATTGTGTGTTTCTAGGTATTTATTCATTACATCCAGATTACTCCATTTGGTCATGTAAAATTGTTCATAATACCATTTTATAATCTTTTTATATTTGTAAAGGTGATAGTAAGTAATGTTTCTACTTTCTTTTGTGGTTTTAGTAATTTGAATTTCCTCCTCCATCTCCACTTAGTCAATCCAGGTAAAACTTTGTCAATTTTGTTTATCTTTTTTAAAGAACCAACATTCATTTCCCTATTTTTTCTCTTCTCTATTTCATTTTGTTCTGCTCTAACCTCTTTTCTTCTGAGAGTTTTCAGTTTAATTTGCTATTCTTTTTCTAGTTCCTTAAAATGTACAGTTAGTTTTAATTTGAGATCTTGTTTTTAATGTATGTATTTACAGCTATAAATACCTTTTGGTTTTGTTTGTATTTTTGTTTGCATTTTACTAAAAATATTTTTAAATTTCCCTTATGATTTCTAATTAGATCCAGTTAAGCAATAAGAATGTATTGTTCAATTTCCATATACATGTGAATTTTCCACTTTTCCTTCTGTTATTCATTTCTAGTTTCATTTCATTAGAGTCAGAAAAACCACTCAATCCTTTTAAAATTTATTATGACTGGTATTGTGGTCTAACTTATGATTTATTCTAGCGGATGTTACATGTGTACTTTAGAAGAATGTACCTTCTACTTTGTTGGGAAGTGTGTTCTATACGAGTCTTTTAGGTCTAAATAGTTTACTGTGTTTTTCAAGTTCTCTTTTTCCTTATTGAACTCTGATTGTTTTGTTTGTTATTTAAATTGAGGTATTGAAGTCTTTTACCGTTATTGTAGAATTGCCCATTTCTCTATTATATTCTGTTAATTTTTGTGCCATTTCCTTTGAGTGTTTAGATTCAGGCAAGAGAGAAACCAGTCCCTTGAGCAGCCCCCTAACAGTCTGCCCATTGGATATATGTTTCAGTCTTCTCTTTCTCTACTCAGGGAGAAGCCAGGAGTTGGAAATTTTCTCCTAGTTGCACCATGCTGAGCTGGAGGGGAGGGACTAAGTTGTACCATGAATTTTCCTACCATCTTTCATGCAGTTGGTTTCCTACTTACCTGGGAGCCAACCAAGTGGGAGTTTTCCTACTTAACTGTTTTTCAGATTTTTTATAAAAGTAATTGATCTGCTTGTTTTTGAAACAGTGTTTCTATTAGGGGCAGGAAGGTCTGTTGATGTACCACCTGTTGAATTTTTAAAGTGGAGATGTGAGTGGATTCATGCAACTTTGCTGATTTCATTTGAGTATTTGAAAATACTGCTTCCGCTGAAATGACCTAAGAGTGATAGATAAGACCCAAGAAACCCATTTAGTAGACAATTGGAGTAGATCTTCAAGAGACTATGATAGCTAGGACTGGGTTGGTGGCTTCGGATATGGATATTTAGAAGGAGACAAAAATTTACAAGGTTTGGTAATAGATTGAATATGAGAAATGCAGCGAGGGGCTTGTATTTTTTTCCCCACTAATTTTGTATTACTGACTTTCTACTTTTTAAGATTCCATTTATTTATTTATTTATAAAGAGAGGGGAAGGGAGGGAGAAAGAGCGGGATAGAAACGTTGATGTGAGAGAGAAACATCGATCAGCTGCCTCTCATACATGCCCTGACCAGGAACCAAATGCACAATCCAGACATGAACCCTGGCGGGGAATCCAACTGGCAACCTTTCATGTTGCAAGATGACGCCCAACCAACTGAGCCACACTGGTCAGGGCTTGACTTTGAATCATAATTGCATTGTTGTTAGACTATGTGTTTAATCGGATAAAGATTATTTGAAATTCTTTGAAGATCTTTTTGTAACCTAACACATGGTTATTTTTGTGAATGTTCTATTTTTCTTTACATTTTCTGCTTGTTGGCTACCTGAGTCTCTTTCCATATATTTATTCCACTTGTTTTTTTTAGATATGATACATTTTCAAACAGCTTAGCTGCCTATGGATTAGGTAAAATGACCTTCAAGAATTTTCATGTAAAGAATCTTTAGCTAAGAATATTAAAGAGCCTCACCTTTGGTTTAAAGAGATAACTTAAAATTTGTCAATTTTGACAGAAGTCTTTTTTTTTTTTCCTGCTTTTGAAATTCCCAAGATAGCAATCATAGAAGTAGTAGCAGCAGCAGCAGTGTTAGTAGTAATAGTGATGGCAACAGCAGCAGCAGCAGCAGTTACCATTTATGGCGCCAGGCATCGTTCAAAGCTATCTACAGTTAATGAATGTAACCCAGTCACAACTCTGTGATATATTATTGTTTTCCTCATTTTATAGATGAGAAATATAATACACAGGAATGTAATATGCTTGCCATAGTCATGCTGTAGCCACACTGGCTTTAAACAAATCACAATAAGTTTGTTCAGTTGGACACACAAAATATTCATTTCCCCCTTCTTTTTTAGTTACTAGAAAGGTTAAAAGAACGTTGGCTCTCCACTGGTTTATGGCAAAATCTGGAGTTGGTGAAGACAGTCATCGTAGAACCACAGGGAGGAGAAAAAAATGATTTCGATGAATTACTGCAGGTGTATTATGATGCAATCAAGTACAAACGAGAGAAAGGTAATTGGAGATTATAGGGTGATCAATGAAAAAAATATATTTTACTGTAAAATACGTTGGTGCTGTTAGAACTTTATTGGTATTTTCTTTCTAAATGAATATCACTTAAAAGAAGAATTATATTTTATACTCCTGAATAAAAAGAAAATAAGTTAAAGAAATTTTTATTTGGAGCTGTCTCCTTTGGAGCTGTTTTTATTTGGAGCTGTCTCCTTTGGAGCTGTTTCACTTGGGGAAAACATTCAGCTATTATTCTATAGTCTTCCCTAGATTACCTGCAATGTATTAAGGAAGAAGGCAGAAAGGGCATGCATAAATACAAGTATCTTACCAGCCAATGAGCCCTACATTTTGATGCAAGTAATATACTTTGTGCTTATATTCTATTACATAAAGTAAACTTGAATTTTCAAAATGTAACTGAAGACTCAATATCAAAGTTAGAGAATGTCCATAAGGATGTTAATAGGAAGGGCTAATAGTAATAATTTATGAACAAAATAAGGTCATAAAGATACTGTAACATAATTGTCAATATCCTTATATGATAGAGTGTTCTGTGTGTATTTTACATATTTTTCTTTATAACATTGACTCAATATGATATATTATACAAATTAAGAGTTCTGAGAACTTTACATGCTGGGTAATGGTAATGACTGCAACTTCAATTTTTAAAGGTAAAACAGTTGGTTCACGGTTGCTCAGTTCATGTGCAAGTTATTGCTCTGATGTGGTTTTACTGTTTAAGTGTCTGGGTGATACACAGTTTGTAAATTGGTTTTCTGCCACATTGTACCTAAGTGTAATTTTGTTTTCCTTGTTTATTTAAAGACACTGCATTTTTTAAACTTTATCTCATAATAGTTTTAATTTTGATTTTAAGTTTGCTACTATGACTACTTAATAAGCAGAGCTTTTCAAAATGACAAGAATAGGCAATTTTAGGGAATTTCAAGTATGTTTTAAAAATCTTTATTTTCTGTTGCTTAAGATGGAGCCCTCCTGGTAGCAGTTTGCCGTGGGAAAGTGAGTGAGGGTCTGGATTTCTCAGACGACAATGCCCGTGCTGTCATAACAATAGGAATTCCTTTTCCAAATGTGAAAGATCTTCAGGTAGGCCTTCAAAGTCTTAAGAAATTTTATCATAGAAGTTGTTCATTTTGTGTACAGTTAATTATATGTTTTTCTTGTATCTTCAGACATTTTAATTCTGTGTTGACTCAATGAGTGAGAAAGGTTTAGTAGGTAATGGTTTATTTATTTTTAACTTACACTGTCTTTTGTTCAACAAGAGTGATTTTCAAAGTGTGGTTCCAGGTCTGGAACATGAGTATCACCTAGGAACGCGATAGAAATACATATTTTCAGGCTCTATCCAGACCTACTGAATCAGAAATCATGGAGGCAGAGCCCAACAGTGTGTACACTGAAGCTCTTAGCCCCAGGCTGACAACGATCCCCCATAGTTGTGGGGCCCTTTTCCTGTCTAGCTGCCTTCTCTCCAGTTAGCTTCTCCAAATTCTCTCTTTCACCTCAGCTTAGCAGGACCACCGTATGCGGCTTATACTGCAGTGCTCTTTACTGTTGTCAGGAAATTTTACTTAGGAAGAGAGCCGAGAATCATGGAGTTCACCTAACAGATTTCCCTTATCCTTGAGATTAGTTGTATCCTGCCTGGTGCCCACTGTCTGAAAGCAGTTGCTTTATCTACTGTGTCCAGTTTTACAGTTAATTACAGTGGGAGGGACATTCCCGAAACATGTATTCTGGTCTTGGCCAGAAACAGGAGTTTTGCTTCATTATCACTGATTGTTTGCTAAACATTATATTTGAAAAATTATTTGTCACAATAATTTGAAGCCAAAGATGATGTTATTTTCTATCAGGGAGGATTTTTGTTTCCTTTCTATAGGCAGTTATCTTCTTTATTGTTAATATTTTACTAGACACTGTGAATTATGTAATATTAACAGTAATAATCAGGATTTCTTTGGTTAGTTCATACTTTTTCCTAACCTCTGGAGCGCCTCAAAATTTCTGAAATTCCTCAAGGGATATATAATCCTTTCAGCCTACAGTAACTTGTAGCTTCCAGTACCTTTCTCCAGCTACCAGTGCTACCATTGAGAATGGTGATGACCACGCCCTGGTTCTGGTTCTAAAATGGCCAGCGCTGCCTCTGACTATAGCTACTGATAAAAACAGTTGGCTTCCACTCAAGAAAACTGTTGTGTTCGCCATCAACAGCATTGGTGCTACAGTCCACTGAAGCTGCATGCTGCTGATGGCACTGCTGCTGGCCGTGGTCCTGTCTCTTTTTCGGTCTCTTTTGTCTTACTATTTTACCTTGGCCCTATCTTATTGCATTCATTCTGCTTTGTTAAAGTGGAAAGAATTCCTTTCCACTTCTTTCTGAACCATGCATTCTCCCAATGTCTTAAATATAGTTCCCCACCCCCCAACCAGCTCTTTCAATTTTTGTGTAAATCTTCTCTTTTTTAGACCTATAGATGAGTTCTTGAGAACTAGAAAAGAAGATGACTTTATAGCTAATACTAGTTTGTACTAAATGCAAATAACAAGACCTGAAAGGATTCATTTTAAATACATAATAGTGATTTTTGTCTGAGAACAAGCAAAAGAAATTATATTGAGGGTAGTTACCAAAGGGACTTTAGCTTTTTCTGTAGTGCTTGTTTATTTTAGTAAAAGACAAGCTTAAAGAAAAGGGGTGGTGGACACACAATACAATATACAGGTGATGTATTAGAATGGCACACCTGAATCCCATATAATTTTATTAACCAGTGTCACCTCAATAAATTCAATAAAAAATAAAAATAATAAAAAAGAAAATATGGTGAGAATACAGGTGCTTATTATGTTATTCTTTCTAAATACTTAAAATTAAATAAAATGTTACTTGTGCAGAAAAAAACATTACATTTACCTTCTATTTTGTCTACCCTCACTCCCAATGGCTGTGATTCTGGGCATTGCTGTTATGCCAGTCTTGGGTTTTTAATGCTATATTTCCTCATGATAAGTTTTTCCCAGGAGGCATATCATTCTGTCATACCAAAAAAAAAAAAAAAAAAGACACCCAGTAGCCTGCTCTAACATTCTTCAGTAATCATCCTGCTTGTCATAGTTCTACTTAACTGAATCCCAAAGGCTCTTGTTTTGTAAAACAGCAAAATAACAGGAGATCCAATGAGATCTGGGTGGGGAGGAGGAGGACTGCTCTAAAGAAGTTTACTTAGTTTGCCTATTATCCCTTGTGGTTTCTGAAAGGGCCAAATAGGATAGACCCAAAAGTAGTCCAAGTCGCAGGGACAAGAGACAGGTAAAAAGGGAAAATCCTTACTGGCAATACCAGATGTAAGGGAATTATATTTCTTGTTGCTATATGTCTGGATCAATTCTTCTTATGTAGCAAATAATTTAAAAACTCAGTGACTTAAAATAGCAATCATTTATTATGAGAGACACATCTATGTTGGGGGGTGGGGTGGCATGCCTGGGCATTAGGTGATCTAAGCTTGGCGTGGCTGAGCAGCTTGCTAATTTCAGTTGGCCTCAGGCCATGGCCCTGCCATGGTTTGACCATTTTAGGTTGGATTCAACTGGATCAAGTCTGCCCTACATGTGTATCTCATCCTTCATGGACCAACAGATGAGCCAAAACATGTTGTCATTGCAACAGCAGAGGTACAAGAGGGCAGGCTCAACTGTATAAGCACTTTCACATTTACTAACCTTTTGCCCAAAGCATGACGCATATGCCCAAGCCCAAAGTCAGGAGCATGAGAGTGGCGGCAAGGGGTGCGGAGGGGGTGGTTGGTAATTCTACACCACATTTGGCAAAAGATTTAGAAGTAAGACTTTAAAAATTTCTTGGCATATTTTTTTAATAACTAATTTGTAAGACATCCATCCAAGAGACCAATATGTATAATCTTTAACAGTGTCGATATGCATTTTTTCTAATAACTAAGAAGACCTTTTATCATTTGGAAGTGACCAGAATATAGAAGTGAATGTCTGAAATATCGAAATATCTGAAATAAATCAGAGCGTCATTATGAATGGTTTCTTAAAATTCAAAAATAACCAAACAAGTTATTGAAAATATTTATTTGTATACTATGAAGGGATATAAAAGACATACAAAGGTCTGAAATTTTAATGAAGTTTACTTTATCTATTTTGCTGTTGTTTGTGTGTTTGGTGTCATATTGAGAAAACCATTGCCAAATCCAAGATCATGCATATTTGCCACCAATGTTTTTTTCAAAGAGTTTCATATAGTCTTAGCTCTTAAGTTTGTTCGTTTATTTATTTAAATTGGTGTGACATTGGTTAATAAAATTATGTAGGTCTCAAGTGTACAGTTCTGTAATACATCGTCTGTGCATTTACTGTGTTCATCACCCAAAGTCAAGTCTCCTTCCGTCACCATTTATCTCCCCCTTTACCCTCTTCTACCTCCCCAAACCCCCTTTCCCTCTGGCGATCACCGTGCTGTCATGTGTGTCCATGAGGTTTTTGTTTGTTTGTTTGTTTGTTTGTGTTTTGCTTAATCCCTTTACCTCTTCACCCAGCCCTCTAACCCTGCTCCCCTCTGGCAGCTGTCAGTCTGTGCTCCATATGAGTCTGTTTCTTTTTTTTTTTTTTTTGTTAGTTTATTTTGTTCATTAGATTCCACATATAAGTGAAATCATATGGTACTTGTCCGTCTCTGACTGGCTTATTTCACTTAGCATAATACTCTTTAGATCCATCCATGCTGTCACAAATTTAGATATTTGATCTATTTTGAATATATTCTTGTATATGATGTAAGATACAGGTCCACCTTTCTTATTCCTTTCAATTCTTATAGACATCATTTAGTTATATCATGTTTTTATAATTAACTCTGCCAATCTCTGCCTTTTAGTTGGAGAGTTTAAGGTAATTTAAGGTAATTTCTGATAAGGAAGGACTTCTGCATTTAGCTGTTCATTTTCTGAGTGTGCTATGTCCTTTTTTTCCTTAATTCCTTCATTATTGCCCCCACCCCCTTGATTGTATTTAGGTGATTTTTGTTGTTCCTATTTTGTATTTAGGTGATTTTTGTTGTCTCTTGTGATTCTTTTCTTTCCTGTAGTGCATATTTTAACTTTTTGAGTGTTACCTTGGGGATTACAAGTAATATTTTAACCTCTGTACCTCCTCCTTTATATTGTTATATCATAGATTGCATCCTATTACATTGTATGCTCAACGTATAACTTATAATTATTGCTTTATGCATTTGTGTTTTAAAATCATATAGGAAAAGAGTTATAAACCCAAAACACTAGATTTTATATTTACCTACATAGTTATGTTTAACAATGTCCTTTATTACTTCTTAAAACACATTCTACACTGTCTTCATTTTATCATATTTTAATGTTTACCAATTTGTTTTATAATCTGTCAGATGGTGTACCTTGAAATTTGGACAATGTAAATATCTTTGCATTTCTATAATTAAAACATTGCCTTGTAATATACTGAGTGTTCAAGAAATCTTGGTTTAATAAATGATTAAATATAAGTTTATTATTTGTCTCAAATATATATACTTACATGTTTAAATATATTTATTAAATATATATTTAATATAGTAATTAAAGTAAAAGTTAAATATAGTTAATATATTTATATTTAATGTTATTAGAATAGTATTTGGTTTTGTTTGTTTTACATGATGGTGTTAAAAAACAACACTTCCTACCTAGACACTTAATTAAGGCATAATAATGGTAGTAATCATTATTAGGTGATAATGAGGACAGAAGTAAATATCAATATGACTTATAATGTGGCAATGCAGTGTACTGTTATAACCATAAATCATTAAAGGAGTTGCAGAAGGGAAGTGCTCAATCCCAATAGCATTTTACACTCTGTGTTATGCATAGTAGAATATAATAAATAGAGGGTAAGGTATCTTATACTGATTATATTGGCTTTCACCCAATTCTATATTAGTTTTCTATTGCTATGTTATAAATGACCACAAACAAATTGGCTTGAACCAACACACATTCCTTATGTCAAGTTTCCATGTGTTAGGAGTCTGGGCATGGCTTAGCTGGGTCCTCTGCTCAGGGTTCCACAAAGCTGCAGCCAAGGTGTCGGCTGGGTTGCATTCTCATCTGGGTCTTGGGGTCTTCTTCTGAGCTCATTCAGAGAGTTAGCGGAACTCAGTTCCTTAAGGTGGTATGGCTGATCTAGCCAGAGGCTGCTCTTATCTTCTAGACTGGAGGCTACACAGAAGGCCGATAGGGCCTTCTCCCAGACCCTGTCACAGCATAGTAGGTTATTTCTTCAAGGTTAACAAGTTATTCTGTAGCTCCAGCCTACTAAAGTGGAGTCATATAATTCAATCCCATGGGTAACTTCTCCGTACCTTTGCCCTATAATATAACCTAACCAAGGGAGTGACTCTCTCTCACCCTTGCCATTTTCTGTTGGCTAGAAGCAATCCACAGGTTCTTCTCTCACTCAAGGTGAGACGATTATACAAGACACAGCTCTCTGGGTTTGTCTGCTCTATTCTTGTCTTCTGTAAAATGGGACAGTGAACTAAGTGGTTCTCATAAATGGCTTTTCCAGAACTAACAGTGCTTTAAATTAGTGGACAACAAATTTGGACTTTATTGTCTCTTTCTGCATTAATATTCAGTCTATCATGCAAGAATAAATTAGAAGTTATTTATAAATGTAAACCTTAAATACTGTAGTTTGTTGTGTATAATGTGCACCCATGTTTTTGTGGGCATTACATACAGGATTATGATCCTCATTATACCCATGGTATGTAATCATTATACCTATGTATAATGCACATCCTTATTTTTCCCTAAAAAATTTAGGCAAAAAGGTGAGCATTATACATGGGAAAATACGGTATGCTATCTTATGGCAATGAAACAATCTGTTTTTGCATTATTTTCTCATTGTTTCATTTGAATTCTTATTTTACGTGTCATCCTTGCACAGGGACCATGCTAACCTTCTCTGTGTCATTCTAATTTTAGTATATGTGCTGCTGAAGTGAGCACTGAGTTCTTATTTTAAATGGTTAAGATCAGTGTCTGAGTTGGAAAAGTGATTTGAGTGGGGAAAAGAAGGCAATGACATTAATTTTATGATACTAAAATTTTTTCTTAAATTTTAGGCACAGATTATGGAAGTAAAAATTAAAATACAGTTTAAAATACTAACTTAAGACTTTTGTAGTCTCAATTGCAGAGTTTGGCTTTTAGAGAAGCAGGAAAATGTATGTTAGAGCCAAAAATATGACTTCTTTGGCTGTGACCAGGATTTCCTCTTCCCACCTTGGGGACTAGAAAGTAGAGGTAGGAAAATTTCATTTTGGAGCCAAATGTGACTTGTTTAGTTCAAGTCATAATTTATTGCACATACCTCAGGGACCTGAAAATAAAGAAACCCACTATGAAATGTTGATAATGGGCCACTCTGAAGGGCAAGCATTAAGCTAACTTTCCCAGTGAGGGTTTTTTTCACGTCCACCTTTTCCAGATGCATCTGATCATGCTATAAGGATATACTTAATCGTGTAGTAGTTAAAAAGAAAACTTTCTATGCACTAAACCAAAGTATTTGAGGAGCAGAAGAGTGAACCAAGGATTTTATATGATCAGATGTTGGTGAAAAAGTATAACTAAAAGGCAAGTTGTTTTCTTACAATGCAATTAAGTCACACAGTATAACAAAGTTGCCCTTTTAATAGATATCTAAAGCAAACCCTTTGGCCAATTAGTATGATCTAAAGATTACAAAAGCCTTCAACTTTACAATTCAGGCATCCACATCTCAAAATGGTAGCATGGTAATTTATGAGGCATTATAATTTACAATACTTAGATTTTTTAAATTGCATTTTATTTGTATTTCTTGGCATAGTTTCGTTTAGGAGTACATAGAAATATTCTCCCTTCATGGGTATTGTGCCTTTACTTCTCTGAGGAGCAAATTCTAAAACCATGGAATGTGGCTAAAATTTTTTATACTTTAAATATGTTCAAGTGAGCATGTTAGATTTTTATAATTAGTTTAATAAAATTTGAAGGTAATATTCAATATCAGAAGTACACTTACAATTATTAAAAATGTATTAAATAAATTTTATATTTTTGTACTGTATTTCTTTAATAATATAGTATATTGAGTTACCAAAGTAGTTTCATTTAGAATCTATTTAAAATTCAGATAGTGATCCGATTAGTTATCTTAATATTGGCATATAATAACCATTATGAATTCGTTTTTTGATTAGGAAACTTCTCTTAGCTCTGAAGGTACTGAACTATTTGAAGATAGGATTTTAATTTTGAAAAATTACATTTGTAATTGAAAACTCTAGGCATCTATTTTAATTCTGTTAAATTAATTATTGACTTTATAACAAACACATTAACTTATAGCCTTCCATGAATTCTTGGATTTTTATAAACCTCAGAAAAAAAGCTGTTATCCTTTGCCTGCCCCAAAAGTTAACAGCATTAATAAAATAGAGTGCACATTAAACCAGTGCTTTCCAGTGTTAAAATATTATTAGATGATGGCAGTATTAAAATTCTTCAATCCAACATTTCATTTTAAGGAGAATGATGTTGTTCCTTCATTTTTCTTGTTGCTTTTACAGCAGTGTAAATATTCATGAGTAGGGGAATGAAAGCAGGGATGCAAGGGGTTATGGTATATCAAAGCAAACTTGATTTCCAAAACAGGATCTTAATAATTTTGAGTAAATTTATATATTTCTTTTGAATCACTTTCATAATTGTGTTAATGATCTTGAGTGTTTTAGCATTAATTTATTCATTTAATAAACTTTTACTAAGTGCCTAATTTGTATTAAATCTTGTAGGTGCAAAAATGAACAAGATATTGTCTCTATACTAGTAATATCTGTAGTTTAGTAAAGGGCTCAAACACATAACAGAATGTTTCGGTGGGAGAAGATCTGGGTGTTCAGTTGTTTAGGGAAGGTGAGGTTGAGCAACACCTTTCACTCTCCATCCAGATATCCATTAAGTAAATGACTGATTTGCCTAAAATAGAGGAACCAGAGAGATGAGATATGAATCTTGTGTACATGGAGATTCAAATATGCAAATATTTGATAAAGTGGAATGGCCTCATGAAATGCCACATTACAAGACTGTACATATTTTTAAGATTATTCAGAATAATTAAACAACTATTTTTTGAATATCTGGCTAGAGTACCAGTAACTTACTAGACTTTGGTGACACAGTGATGCACTACATAGATTATAGCCCCTTGTCTCATGCTGCTTACAGTCTGGTGAAGAGTGTTAACATTAAAGTAGTGAAGAAATAATTACTTATGGTTGTGATGAAAGCTGTAAGGAAAAGTCACATGAACTATAAGAGTGTATAACAGGATCCTGACCTGGTTTGCGGGGATAAAGAAAGACTTCCTGAGGAAGCGATATTTAAGCTGACAGTGGAAAGAAGGCTAGAAGTTATGTAGGCACAAAGAATGGATAAGAGTATTCTCAGCAGAGAGAACAGCATGTGCTAAGGTCTGAAAGAGGACAGCAGTTTCCAGGAATTGAAGGAGGCTGAGGTAGAGAGTGAGTTTGGGGAGAATGACATGTGAATAGAGGCTGAGAGAGGTATTAAGGAGTCAAGTCATTTAGGGCTCTGTATGTCATTTTAAGGATTTGAGATTCTATCATAAGTTGTGGGAAACTAGATCCAGGAATAGAGCCTGATATCAGAGTGTAGTGGAGTTCCTGCTATAGTGTAGTATCTGATACAGAAACCTACCTGGACCTAGCCTGGATAGTAATATGTGGTCATCCAGGGGAAACAAATGGCTGTGTATGTAAACTTAAAGGACCATAATACTAAACACTTAACGTTTAGGAGTCCAGCAATTTGTTGTTGAAATTGTTGGAAACACTTAGGCCAAATCACAGATGTGGAAGAAAAACCTTTTGCCTCTGAAGGTCTAGAATGAGTTTATCTTCAGTTACTTAAACCTTCCTTCCTCCCTTCCTTCCTGCCTGCCTTCCTTCCTTCCTTCCTTCCTTCCTTCCTTCCTTCCTTCCTTCCTTCCTTCCTCCCTCCCTCCCTCCCCTTTCTTTCTTCTTTCTTTCTTTTCTTTCTTTCTTTTTCTTCTCAGAAAACTTTCTGTTCCAAGCTTTATTTCAAAAAAGATAGTCTGGGCCCTGGCCGGTGTGGTTCAGTTGTTTGGAGCCTCATCCGATAAACCAAAAGGTTGCAGACTCGATTCCTGGTCAGTGCACATGCCTAAGTTGTGGGTTTGGTTCTTGGTAGGGTGTGTACGAGAGGCAACCAAGCAACTGATTGATGTTTCTCTCTCACATCCATGCACTCTTGCTCGTTCTTTCCCTGACTCTAAAATCAATAAGCATGTCCACGAGTGAGGATAAATTAATGATATAATAATAAAAAATAATAATAATTTGGCCAAAAGCAGTAGTAAATCAGGTTTGAAGTATATTTTGAAATTCTAAAATTAAAATATTATTTAAATCTGAGTATGCCATCTAGGTTGATAATTTGTAATATTCCTTGGACAGTGAAAAATGAGAATAACCAAATCCTTTGTTCCCATCCCTCCTAAAAAACAAACATAAAACCACAAAATAAATGGGTGAATTGCTGAGGTATTTTTAATTTTTAAATTAAAAAAAAATTTCTATTTGATAAGGTACAACACCAATTTATGATTAAAAAAACACTGGAAAGTGGGAGTAAAGGGGGCATACCTCAGCATAATAAAGGCCATATATGAAAAACCTACAGCCAACATCATACTCAATGGGCAAAAACTAAAAGCTTTCCAAATGAGATCGGGAACAAGACAAGGATGTCAGCTTTCACCAGTTTTATTCAACATCCTATTGGAAGTCCTAACCACAGCAGTCAGACAAGAAACAGAAATAAAAGGCATCCAAATTGGAAGGGAGGAAGTAAAACTGTCATTTTTTGCAGATGACATGATAGTGTACATAGAAAATCCTATAGACTCCACCAAAATACTACTCAACCTAATAAGTGAATTTGGCAAAACAATGGGGCACAAAGCCAATATTCAGAAATCAAAGGCATTTCTTTACACCATCGATGAAATATCAGAATCAGAAATCAGGGGGAAAAAATCCCATTTGCTATAGCAACAAGAAAAATAAAGTACCTAGGAATAAACTAAACCAAGAAGGTAAAACACCTGTACTCAGAAAACTACACAACACTGAAGAAAAAAATTAGGGAAGACACAAATAAATGAAAGCATATACCATGTTCATGGATTGGAAGAATTAACATCATCAAAATGTCCATACTGCCCAAAACAATTTATAGATTTAATGCAATCCCTATTAAAATACCAATGATGTAGTTCACAGATATAGAACAAACATTTCAAACATTTATATGGAACCATAAACGACCCCGAATAGCTGCAGCAATTTTGAGAAAGAACAAGAAAGTAGGAGGGATCAAAATACCTGACACCAAACTATATTACAAAGCCATTGTAATCAAAACAGTCTGGTACTGGCATAAGAACAGACATATAAGTCAGTGGAACAGAATAGAGAGCCCAGAAATAAACTCATGACTCTATGGTCAATTAATATTCCACAAAAGCGGCAGAAGAATAAAATGGAGTAAAATAGCCTCTTTAACGAAAGATGTTGGGAGATCTGGACAGCTACATGCAAAAAAAAAAAGAAATTCAACTACCAGCTTACACCATACACAAAAATAAATTCAAGATGGATAAAAGGCTTAGACATAAGCTGTGACATCGTAAGAGTCATAGAGGAAAACATAGGCAGGAAAATCTCAAATATTCCACGCAGCAGTGTTTTTACTGCTATGTCCCCTAGATCAAGGGTTATAAAGGAAAGAATAAACAAATGGGACTTCATCAAAATAAGAAGCTTCTGCATGGCTAAAGAAAACATCAGCAAAATGGAAATGGAACCAACCTTATGGGAAAATATATTTGCCAATGATACCTTGGACAAGGGTTT